AACAGATGATCCTAACTATTTCCTAAAAATAGTGTAGGAGAGGCAAAGATAGATACCATTAGAATTCTATTGCTAAAGTTGATTTCATACACTGGAAATTTTGGTGTTGAGGATAATTAGCTTCTTCATCACCAATTAAGGCTTAAGATTTTGTAAAGACTATTCATATCTTAATGCCTTAATAGGCTTTTCCTGACCTTCACATTTTTTTTTTCTTCACTGATTCCAATCTAGTGGATCAGTGATGAATGGGAAGATGCTGTCAGCAGGTCTTTGCAGCTGCTGTTGCTAAGTGGACTATATAAATCTCTGCAAGGAGAAAAAAAAAAATCTTCAATCCCCTTATTAACAATCAAGTTCCATCTGGTTGTATCAAGTGTTTTTTGTTATAATATACATTCTTCTTCATAGTCCCAGCAAACTTTAGGAGAAGAAGGGTATACCGTCTCTAGTCTGGTAAGATCTTCCCACAGCAGTTGAGGCAAGGATGTTTTCAATTCCACTTGTGGTGAACATTTCATTCCAAAATGAATATTCTTCTACCAAATTTTAAGAACGTTATTGTTGAGACTCTGAGCTACACCCAGGTCCTGTCTTTCCCACTCACAAAGGTGGGCTACCCTGGAGAGAATTTGCCATAAGATAACAGTGTGAGCGGTGGAGGGTTTGGGGATGGCTGGTGAGGTTATGGCCTTCCTTTCCATTCTTCACAAGACTAGGCAAGGCTGTTCACAGCCCATTGTCATGTTAATGGTTTTCTGCTACATGTTAAAAAAAAAAAAGAAGAAGAAGGAAAATAAGTGTATTTTAAAGCTTTTAAGTAAGTAGGGTATAAGAAAATAGGAGGCCATTCTGTATTTTTATGTTTACATTTCTGAATGATGCATTCACACGAATACATGGGGAAAAACCCTCTGGTATTCATTTGTCCCAAGGCAGATTTCTACCAGTCCCTCAAGCATAAGATTGTGTTGGAACACCAAGCACTTGGTGCACAAAGAAGTTGCCAGCCCTAGATTTTCCATGCTCTGATTTTTTCCTTGTCTTTCTCCAGTACTCCATGATCATAATAAATTTGAGGTAAAGCGATTGGAGTCACTGTGGTATAAAACTGAAGAATGTTTGTGAGGAAATAAACCTTTGTATGTTCCTCTGGCTAGTCCTTAGCTTTTTACCGTTGTACGAAATCTCAGAAATGCGAATACGGAAGCAATAGGCAAATGAGAACTGGGTGTTACTGACATTGAAGGTGGCAGCCGTTGGGCTGCGTCTGCTGCCGTGTTCCCCTGTGGGGCACTGTTATTCCTTGGTTACCCTGACTGCAGAAACAGGCATGGCTGCACTGCGTTGGCTTCAGGAGTATCTTCCATGTTTTTGAGTCAATTCATTAAAAATATGTCAGAAAAGGTCATTGTAACTATATCTTATTACCTACTTCCTAGCTTTATGTTTGTGTTAAACACGTTTTCTTACAAAGGAGTAATAGCTGCCTTAATCACAAACAAAAAATATTGTCTTACAAGACTGCCAAACTGAATTTCTTACTAGTAAAAGCTTGGGAAAATAGCTATTAAAGGAGCAAAGGGTTAATTAATTATGCTAAGCTTCCATTCTTCCCCCCACCCCCCGTATTTGCCCATTTCTGTTTGAGGCAAGGAGCAGTTCAGAAAAACATGACATTCCTTTTAGTAGCAGTAGCAGGGAGGCAAGAAGGAAGAAACTGAGACTTTCATAGGTTTCATTCCAAATAAAACCATACTAGAGGGGGGGGTTTATTCTTTTGATGAAATATCAGTATATTTTCAGGGTTTTTAAGTTTGTCAGCAAAACAGTATTTTGCTAGAATCTCTTGCCAGGAGCAAAAATGACTTATTTTGTCCTCATTGACTGTTTTTATTCAGAAAGCAGGTGACAGCAATCAGTTCCAATGCCATCTACATCTCCAATTATTTTACAAACCCCAGGAGCTAATTACAGCCCTCAGGCTCTGGCAGTCAGCTGACTTCATCATGCGACTTTTTTGGCCATTGCGTACCTCTGAGTAATTGCCTATTTATGGAAAATAAATTAATAGCTACTATTTCTACTTTAAAAAGACCTGTGAGTGTGTGTAGGTTGAGCAAGTGGGTTGTAGCCAGAAGGGAGAGAGATTAAGAGAGTAGGAGGCAGAGGGATCAATTGAAAGAATAAAAGAGGGGTGGGAGGGAAAGAAAATGGCAAAATACTAAGGGAAACGGTTAAAATGAAAGGGAGGAAGGAAGCAGGGTCCCAGAAAATTGAACAGGAGAAGCAAACATGGTAGCAAATGGCAAGATATAGAGTGACAGGAGGGAAAAAGTGAGCAAAATTGTGGGAAATAGTATCTTAAAATATGATTTCAATATAAACCTATGAAGATTAAAAAGGTGCATTTTTTCCAAACTGTAACTATTATAAATGCAGAAAAAGAAATGAAGTCTGAGATTCTTATTGTACGTGCCTATGTCAACATAGGTGGTGTATGCCTTCTTAGCTCGCTTAAGGGGAGAAAAGATTACATGTTATCTTTATTTGTGTTGATCATATAATTCATAGAGAAATGAAAACTGCATTTTAATATATGATACTGCAGTAATGTACATAAATAATAAACTAAGCATCCTTTGTTCAAAACACTCTGTTCAAAGTATTTTTGCAAATGATATTTTATGTACAAAAGGTTTTGAATGGATGAATATCAGCAAACTTTGCCTGCAGGTTGTGTAGACAAATCTTTGCAGTTACAAAGACCGTTGCTACTTCAGTGTCATTGTGGTGTTGCCAGAAGTTTGGAGGTTTTTCGTCTTCTGAAAGTTACCTACAAAATAACCTTATGAAGGCAGAAAGAATAATAACCTTTTAAGGTTGAAGAGCCAAAGTGATCCTGTTACAGGCTAGAACTTCTAGCAACTTTAGGTTAATTTAAAATACGTTGTACACAGAAGTTAACTGTGAGAGAGGAATAAACCCCGTGTGTTAAAAGTATATCAGTCTCTGTGTAAAGGAGATGTTGAGGAAATCATGGCTGGAGAGGGAAGTGAAATGAGCATGGAACCTTAGCAACATAACAGCATATGGAACAGGGTTTTTTAAAAGACCTATAATTAAGTATGTGGAGCTGGTGTTTTATGAGCCTTGAAACAACTGAGAACTGGTCTAAGCTTTCTAAACAGCCTTTCTCTTTTTCAGAATTTTGGGAGAGAAAAAAAACCAAACACTTTTTTGTATATGTGCATATGTTCTACTGCCTTCTACTGAAATCTTACTTCTTTTCAAAACCTTTTTTTTTTTTTTTTTTTTTTTAAAAAAAAAAGATGCTTATTAGGGTACCAGCTTATTTGGAATGAGATGACAGACTTTTTGGGATCTTATAAAATAAATTATGGCAACTTAATGTAAAATACTTAATATTATTGAACATAATAATCGACAATCTGTCTTCTTCACCTTTCAGATCAGCTGTTCCACGTGTTGGCCATGCACATGCGCCTCTACAGTATAGACTCTGCATACAATCCCTGGAGAAAACTAACACAGCTGATGCAGGATAAAAATTCAGAGCAAGTATTTTCATTTACCCAATATCAGTTTTACCTTGTGAAAGAAACATCCTTACAAGAGGGACTTTGGGTAACTTTCTGTCTTAATTTAAATTCTCTGTGAGGTAGGCTGATGAACTTAGCATCTAAAAATTGTGTGCATATATTTGTAAAAATAAATTTTCAAATTTATTTTACATAAAATCTGACACATTCCAGTTTTGAGTTAAAGCTTAAATACACCACTTACAAGCTTAAGCATGTGCATATTTAATACTGTTGGGTAAGTGGATAGGTGTACTGTCATTCCTGATATGAATGCTAGACAAAATTTACATCAAGATTAAGTTCATGAATAGTCTATTGAAAGTTGGGCAATGACTAACAGCTGTTACAGAAATACCATAAGTAGACATAATATATGTGAGAAATAATTCTGTTTGAAGCTAAAGATTTTCTTTATGCTTGTTATTTTAAACAAGTTATTTACCTGAGTTTGCTTTTAAAACATGAATCTTGCATATATAGCTGTACAAAGATTACCAATACAATATGGAGCCATATATCTTTGCCCAGCAAGGACTCATCTCCCTGCTTAAGACCCTTCACTTTTTGCATTCTACCTTGATGGTGAGAAGACAGGTTTCTTGCCTAAAACCAGATAACAGTATTTTATTTTTTTTTTCCTCTTGGCTCCTTTAGCATCTTCTTCCTAGCTAAGGTCTGCACTTTGTAGCTTGCAATAATGTTGAAAAGACTCTCTTTTGAGTGCCTATCCAGCTGCGTATTTGTCAATGTGTTTCCAGGAGCCTAAAGTGGAAAATAGTGCAGGATTTCACAAATTAGGATATCTAGGGTAGCAATACCACAATCCTAATCTGCAAATTAGGAAACATTATTCAAATGTTTGTGCTTGCTTCTAGTTTGAGATTTTACTGTTTGTCCTCTCAGACCCAGGTCTTTTTTAGAAATCAGCGTTAGATTATTGCAGTAATTAGACTAGACTAACACATTAGTTTATAAACCATTAACAGAACAAAGCATCAGGAATTTTATAATCTGAAAACTCATGTTATTCTGACTGCTTTGAGAATATGGGTTTTTTTGTGATCCTGCCCTGACCTGGGTTGAGCAGTGGAACAAGGTTAATAAATTTGGTGTATGGTTAAAATTAAGATCACTTTGATAGGCTGTTGCCAGTCAGAATGGCTGTGGGACTCATTTTGGTATTTGAAGAACTTGCTGGCTTTGGAAGCAGCTATTAACAGAGGGGCTTTTTCTGCACATGCAACTTTTTTTTGCCCTTACAGACTTGATAGAATTGGTGATGCATTTGTCATACCAAGGTTAGATTGCTGCAACTCAGATTTCATTAGGCAGTATTTTGAATCACTTTGAAATGAATGGTACTGTAGAACACAGTGGCTTGCTTTTGTTGGAGCTGTTGCATGTTGGGAATGTATTTGAGCAGTTCTCTTATTTTCTGCACTAATTTTCAAGATTTCTTGGTAGATTTGCTAATGTTGGTTTGGCACTGAGTCCTAAATTGTTTAGGAAGTTATAACTGAGGGATCATCCATTTTGCCATGAAATAGTTTACCGTTGAGTTACACAGATGCAGTCAAGCTGGAATTTCTTTGCTTACTCCTTGGAACATTTTTCCTACTTTAATCTGCAGGCCCCAGAAAGCTCCAGATGAGGCAACTCGGGGACATGTTTTTTAATGTATAAATTAGAGCATAAGGTGGATACCTGTAATTATGTTATAGAAATTTGAAGTTGTAGTTTCACTTGAAGATGGCATTCATATGATTGGTGTGTATGATCTAACTGCACGCTTCTTAGAGTTACACAGCCTTGTGAGACATCCAGAATAGCAAATTTTTCAGATAAGAAAGAGTGCTCAGAGCAATTAGAAGGTGATACACTGCTGTAAACTGAAGAAGATTAAGAGGGTGGTGGAGAAACACCACTGCAGATTTAAGATGTGGGTAGCACTCTGCTGTTTTGATGGTAACCAAGTGATCTGAATAATCAACATGAGACTTTAAGTAAAGACTTGCAGAAAAAAAAAAGTCACTGAAACTGAAAGATCTGTATTGTTTGACTATATTACTGTGATTCCAAGCAATTTAACATCAAGAAAGTCACAGGAGCAAAATAACTTTAAACCAAGATTCTGTATTTTTCTATTTAATTTTTTACATTAAGTTATTTTCAGTTGAAAGCAATTTTCCAGAGAAGTTAGTTGTATCTTTATTTATTTAAAAACTATTTTTCAAAACTAAAAAAGAAAATAATCTACCTGATACAACTGACATTGCATTATCTTTTCACTCTTAGTTAATTGTACTTACTTTATTTAAATTCATAAATATTCACAATTAAAACTACCCAGGTATAGAGGTCACAATTTTCAACTTGGTTTTCCACAACTCAGCTATCATTATTCATAAATCATGCCTTAGACTTCATGTGTCTGGGAGAACTGATCAAAGTATTTTGAAAAGACTCTCACAGAATTGCTCTACTATACTTCCCAAAGCACCTGGTTTTGCCCAGTGTCATCTTCTACAGCTCTACCTAGATCGCTCTGTAGCTGAAAATGGCAGCTGAGAGGAAAGATAGACAGGAGCTCAGGTAGTCACATCAAGGTAAAGTAGAAATAAGGAAGTTTTGAGCAAGATGATACCCTGTCAAAAAGGGCTTAAATAATGTGAACTGTTTGAAGGAAGAGGAAGGAAAAAAGATCAAGCTAAGTCTGATGAACTTGTGAATGTTACAGTCGATTCTTTATCCTGCGCAATTTATGTTGTCAAATTTAATACACGCTTGGTCCCGCAGGCTGTGCTTAAGCAAATTGTTCTATTAGGGGCAGATCTGGTTTCAAGGGTGATCAAATAAACAATTATTGTGGTTAAAGTGGGGAATAATAGCTTCTGGCAGGGGGCAGAGAAGGAGCAGCTGGAGGCAATGATTACTAAACCCAGATGCAAATTTAATGGACTAGTCCAAATAGCCAGAGTTTCAGGAATGGCAAACCTGAAATAAAAGGATATACATTTTAAAAAATTTACATCTCTACAGAAGCTGAAATTTTTGTGTCTGTTTTGAACCACAAAATGTGTCAGCAAAGAATGATTTGATAAAGCATTAAGAATCTTTGCAGTAGAAGCACTTGTAGGGTGGAGCTCCATGGTAAACTGAAATGCTGAAATATACTGGGTTATTTTTACTGAATTGTTTTGCTGTTGTTTTGTTCTAAGCTTGATTGCTGTGGTGATTGTTTATAGTGTCATACTGGGGCAACAAACTGCAGCACAGGGATGGGAATGAGCAACTGGGTGTGTGGGAACCTCTGAAGTCACATCTCCATTGCAGAAACTGTTGTGAAATGGGAAAAATAAAACAGTTTTTATGAAGATAGTCCCAAGCAGACAGAGAGTAGGATGATGGGACAATGGGGTGTAGTTAAGGTTTGTGCAAGAGGTGGTGCATACATACACATGCTGCAAACAGGACTTATGTGATCTATTCAATAAACACACAAACCCTGCCTGAAACACAGTGCCTCAGGACATGTCGTGATGCGTAGGTTTCAACAGTAATGCCAGCTTCAGGAGTACTCACTCTTGGCTGTTTCTTCCTTCCCCTGTGCTGTAGCTCACCATCTTCTTCAGCTGTGCTGATGTAACTTGAGCAGGCTGCATCATGAACAAAGTCAAGGAACTAATAATCCCTGTTTTCAAAAAAGTGAATTTGAATAAGTCTGGGAGTGGGTGACAAGGGAGTGCCAGGGGCATAGTGGTGAAAGAGAGAATGGGAGATACCTAATGTTAGTACTGTCAGTGAAATCCTGTGTTTTATAATGAGAAAAACTGACCTGCTGTAAAATCTGCTGTGACACAATGAAGAGCAAATATGAAAGTGTAATTGTATCCTAGAATGTAGCCAGAATAAATAGTAGAATTCTACTTTCTTATCATGAACATGAGCAGCTGTGTAATAATCTGAACTTTCTGCAGGCTGGGGTTTGTGGGCTGTATTTCTCATCCTGCAAATACTGAAGAGAATATAAATTTGCCCTAGTTGATTAAACCTTTGCTTAGCTGTATCCATATCCCAATGTCTCATGTTTTCTTCATCTGCCAGTTCTAAGAGGTGTGAGGCCCAAAGCTTCCACTTTATTGACTTTCTAACTTTATAATCAGTTGGAGTTAGCATCAAACAAAAATTTTAAGTGTCTGAGAGAAGAGACGAAGGGGAGCGTATATGTAAGGAAAGGCCATAAGCAAATGCTGCTCATTTCAAAATAGAACAGAATTTTCTATTCCTCTGTATCCATTCCCAAAGAAGTGATTTCCACATAACCTCTATCAGGAGGAGGATGCAGACTACAAAGGCAGAGTTGCTCAGCTGCCAGCTGATGGACAGCTCTGGTATTGGCACAGAGAGGTACAGCCCAATTACCTTGGGCTGGAGGAGAGGTCAGTTCCATAGAGAAAGTCAAGCAATGCATTTTTCCTTTTGATACATGTTTATATTGCACTGTGCAGCTTATTTCCAAATCCCCGCCCTTCCCTTTTTTAATGGATACAGCACACAACTGTAATACATTTGAATAATTTTATATTGCTTTGGTCCCAGCTGAAACTGTACTTGCTTTCATTTTATTCGGTGCTTCTGAGGCACAATTTTTTGTAAAGTCACATTTATCAATCTCTCACATATGCATTGGGGATTAACAGGATGGGCAATTTCCATAAAACACATTTCTAAACACATTTTATTAATTCAGTTTCAGTGTCATAATGAAGAAGTTGCTTAGGCTCTTAACAAATGACAGAGCAGTTTTTAAGTGCTTCATATGCTGCAGCACTTGATGTAAACGGAAGCAGCTTATCTAAAACCCTGACATTTAATGTAGCTTTACTTCTCCAATTCATATGAAATGCATAAATTAGACAAAGAGTTCAGTTGATCCTGCATGTGAAAATGAATTAATTTATTTGTGATGTTGCCACTCACCATATTCTGTATATATAAGAATATTTCCTAATTTTGTCAGGACTGGTATTTGACCTAATTGTTACATGACTTAAAATTATATTGATGTGGACACCCCTGTCAGAAACTGAGGTGTTCAACTAAATGTGACCAGAGGGAGTTGGGTTTTTTTTGTCTTAATTCCCAAATTTATATATAAATTAAAAATTCAAGATGAGAAGTAATTTAAGAGATGTCCATGGCTCTAAAGTCATTACATAATGAGAGTTATTTTAAAACTCAGTGTCATAAAACATAAAATAGAACTAGCTGTAGGTAAAAGTAGAATTAGAGGGACTTAGTGAGATTAGTGACTTCATTGCCTGTATAATTTTGAAAATGTGACTTGGTAGTGTGATAAAAAATTTGCTTCCTTTGTCTTCTTTATAATTCAATATGCTGATTTTTAGAATATTTGGTTTTTGTTTGGGAGGCTCCTATATATAAACAAGTGTATTTTTGTGTGTTATGGTCTTTTAAACAATCATTTTATGAAACAATCGGTTGTACCATGAAATGCTGTGCTTTGAAAACCAATGAAATTATTACGTTGCTGTGCAGTATATTTTCTTACTTTAGAACATGAGTTCTGAAAGTGAAATACCGAAGGTTCCTTGAGTCTGTATATAGAAATAACTGCTTCAGGCAGTTTTGTAGTTTAAAAACACTGTAACAAGAATCAGGTAACCGAATGCTAACTTCCTCATGAGTTATTACAATCCGTTAGTAACACTAAATGGTTTTAAAATCAAGATCAATTAGCAAATTGTCAGGTATTTGGCTTCTGTAACCTTGCTAGCAAATGTAATACTATCTAAATAAAATGCAAAATAAAATATGAAAATTAAAAATGGGTTTATAGTATCAGAAGTGATTTTCTTTGGGTTTTCTTTCCAGACTGATAAGTGAAGAGCTGCCAGAAGTTCCTGTGCTTTACAGAGATGTCTCATCCCTTTTGCTTATCCAGATTTTAACCATGCCTCAACCATTGCACAAAGGTATGTTACAGAAATATGTACATTAGGATGATTACATACATGAGGCTGCATTCATGGTGATTTCCTGGATGGTAAATCATAGCTTCTCTACTGTGTATTCTAAAATAATGTTTTTGCCTTATCTACAGAAGGTGGCACTGAACATAAATTTTTGTTGTGGGTTGACAGGCTTATCTGTGTCCCCTGTCTTCTCACCCTATCAGTCAGCCTATTCAGTAAAGACACAAAAGCTGAGCAAAAACTATTAAGTACTTTTACAGAAGGAAAAGTGTCCTTTGTTTGACCTTCATCTCTGTGCTTAGAGAGGCAGCTCAATACTTGAAGTTGAACTGAGTGCCTAAGGGTGAAAGATTGTAATTTAGTTTGAATTTCAGAGTTTAAATTGCAGCAGTCTTACATAATAGGAGATCGTATATGAAAATGATAATTGCTGTAATGCAGCAACTTCAGTAGCGACAGCATATAGTATAATTTGGAATAAATATTGAATAGATACTTAGGAACTGATTTTTTTTCATTACTAAGATAAAAGGTGTTTTAAAACCTAAATTTCTTTTTCTGTATAAAAGGAACACCTGAAGCTGGTCCATCTTGCTAATAAATAGTATATACTATACTCCAGAAGATGGATAATGCAGACCCTCTGGTCTCTGGCTTGATTATTTATAGCTATGCCTTTATTTTAAAATGAGAACAAACAAACAAACAAGTACCTTTTTACTGCTTCATTGACAATGAACAAAGTATCTGCTTTGGGGTCTGTGTGCCAATTTTGATACCTGCTGAGTTTTGGTTATTTGTGAATAGCTAAACACAGGGACTGTTCTGTTCTTGCTGCATACGTCTAACTTGTAAAGTATAGTAGAAACTCTGTTTCCACTGAAGAGGTGTTCAGTCCTTACGATTGAATGTTCAAATTTGGCTCCAGTGTCTCTGTGGATATCTCTTAACATTGTGGGTTGTGTTTTTTCGACTCAGTGTACATGTTTATGGATTAAACCTGTCCAATAAATCATTAGAATATGAAAATACCAGGACAATAAAATATTTTTTAGTAGGAAGCCTATTGTTAACTTTTCTTGGAAGGATTTAATAAAAGCAGTAAACAAAAGTTTAACAAGACTAAAGGCTTCTGGAATATAGGGAAGGAAGTGGTGAAACCAAGTACAAACAGACGTCGTCTTTGTGTAGTTTATATTCAAACATTGAAAAACACCATTTATGAAAGTACACCTTATCCTAGGAAAGACAAAATTCAATTAATAGTGAGTCATCCTGTAGAGAATTCTGTAAAATACCACATATCAGCATCATGTTTTGCCTTGCTCTTACGTTTAGTGTACGTTGCAGTTGAAAGGGAAATGGCAAGTGGCAGGAAGAAGATGAATGTAACCACTTCCAATCTATGAAGCATTAAATTAGAAATAAATTGCCATTTATATTTCTAATTTTTGTTTCATCAAAATGGTTAGGCAGATTAAAAAAAGAAGTCTTTCAGGATTCCTTTGTCCTGAGGTATAGAATGCAGTTCAGAAAAACAGGTAATAACAAATTTGTTTAGAACTTTTGCAATGGGTGTGTAGGTCACAGAATTGAATTCAGTATCATTAATTCTTGGTAGAGAGCTGAGGCATGAAAAGGTAAAATGGCTTGTGCATGGTCCTGTGGCAGGTCAGTGATAGGGGTGAACAAAATCTACATTTGACCCTACTGCTTCCTGAACTTTCTGTGCTGCTTTGGCATGATCGTAGGGTGCAGGAGCTGTGGACTTGACTGGAAACCAGTATGCAGACAGACGGTTGATGCCTGTGTGCACTGACAGATATTTACAGTATATTCTGTTAACAAATCACTTCAGTACTTTGCAAAAGAGGTGGTGTTGCAGTTTGGTGCAGAATACCATGGTATCGGTGTTACTAATAATCACAGAATCATGGAATGGTAGAGGTTGGATAGACCTCTGGAGATCATCTAGTCCAACCCCCATGCCAAAGCAGGTTCACCTAGAGCAGGTTGCACAGGACTGCAACCAAGTGGATTTTGAACATCTCCAGGGAAGGAGACTCCACAACCTCCCTGGGCAGCCTGTTCCAGTGCTCTGGCACCCTCACTGTAAAGAATTTTTTCATCATGTTTAAGCGGAACCTTCTGTGTTCCAGCTTGTGCCCGTTGCCCCTTGTGCTGTCACTGGCCACCACTGAAAAGAGTCTGGCCCCATCCTCTTGACACCTGCCGTTTAGATATTTATAAACATTGATAAGATCCCCTCTCAGTCTTCTCTTCTCCAGGCTAAACAGACCCAACTCCCTCAGTCTTTCCTCATAAGAAAGATGCTCCAGCCCCTTAATCATCTTTGTAGCCCTAATAATGAAGGAAGAGTCTGTGGGGTTTAGAATCCATGAAAGATTTTTGTCCTCTTCTTAGCATGGACACTCTCCTGTAATGGTACTGGTTTTGCAGTATCATTTATTAGGTATATTGGTGTATTCAGAGAAACCATATTTGTATCCTTACAGGAAACTAAACCTGTTCATCAAGTATTAAATCTTCAAGTTTGTACTCAAAATCCATTTTGTTTACACCATGTTTTATAAAAACACTGAGGGTTCTGTAAGAAGGACCCAAACTTGATCTCTCGCCCTTCAGATATAGCACTAGGAATTTCATTAACTACGCTATTAACTGTTGGAGGGGTGTTGGTATCTTTTTTCAATCTGACATTGATTAAAGCAATAAAAATGTCATTACTGTTCTGCCTCCCCATTCAGAGAGGAAAATTGATCTGAACACATCACAAAGAAAGAACACTACAAATTCAATCTTTTTTTCTTTTTTTTCTTTTTAATGGGAGAAAGTTTGTGTTGGAGGTCAGAGCATTTACAAGCACTTACCAATTTGCAAAGAAGGGAATGAGGAAGATAGTGTGTGCCTCCTGTGTAGTGCAACCAGCAAAATAAACGCTGTGTTCAAGATACTAAAACCATTTGATTTTTTTATTTTTATTTTTTTTACACTAGAACATGATCAGACCTTTTATAGGCTTCATATGCCCAACATTTTGAAATTGTGCAAGACTAAATACATAATAATCCACACAGGCATTTCTGGTTTGATTCTATGGCAGTTGTGCAGAGGATGGACAGTGGTCATGGTGGTGTGAACTGGGACTCTGTAGAAGATGAGGATTTTGTTTCTAGAACCTCTAGCTCCTTTATTACAGAAATAGAAAATGGTGTTGCATATGAAGAAAGGTAGTACAGAAATTGAGACGGTGGCTTGGCGGTTAGCAGAACATTTCTAGAAGTGCAGAGTACTCGTAGCTTCCAGTGATTTGATTTTGCTTTGCTTTGAATGTAAAAAAAAAAATCATACTGTTGCAAAGTTTTAAAAAACTGGAGTCTGGGTGAGCAGGGGGGAGCTTAAGGCTAGTAGGTGCATAGAACTGGTGGTCAGGTGGCCAGCAGTGGCCTGGCACTGTGCTTGATGCCACACACGCAAGGAGCGTCATGCAGCAGTGTGGGTGTTTGCCAGCACGCTGTTACACAGCCTGGTGTTGCTCTAACATAGGCCACAGTGCTGCTTTTACAGGATCTGTGATTTGGGGCTTGTGGATGTGCCCCACCTTGGTTTGAGAATTTAGCCCAACCTCTGTGGACTGTGGGAAAGGTTTTCTTCTCTGGTGTGTAACACCTAAATTCAGCCCCTTGTTTTGCCCAGATGCTGAAGAACTTGACCTGGATGTTCTGCCACATTCTCTTTCTATAAAGTTTCAATGACATGCCACAAAGTTACAGCAAGCAGCACTGAGGCAAACACTAGCACTTTTCCTTAATAATTGGATAAGGATCTTGACTAAATATAGAATGAATGTAATCAACTTGAATAGTATCCAGTTTCAGTCTGGAAGCTGAAATATTTATCTGTATCATGGAACTTTCAATTTACCTTTCATGGATTATCTGAAGTTCGGTGCTGTCTCCCTTTGTTCTGAAGTTATTTTTTCAAATAACTGCTTTAGCTTTAGATCAAGAATATTTTCAAAGGCTATTTATGTAAAGATGCCCTTCTGAATTCACTATAAAAGGTCCTAGGTCCTTAATTTTGCATTTGCTTTGCTTTGCTTTGCAGGTTATTTCTGCAGTCAGTGCCTGCCAGCATATATCATCTAATTTGATACTAAAATTAAAAGATGCGTATTGCTAGTAAGGCGCTTACTCATTTGTATATTTCTTGCACTAATGTTAAAATTAGAGTTCTAGAAGTATTTCCTTTATAAACTTTAAGAGTGTGTGTTTAATGCATATGATGGATAGGATGCTGTGAATTAATTTAGTTCCAAAAAGTTTTGTTTAAAAAAGTTTTTAAAATAGGAATACAAACAAAAGCATTTCTCAATATTATACAAAAATAAGTACAAAAATTCTGCATTAACCTCTATTTTGATTATAATGGCCTTGCCATAACTGTTTAACTCCTAGACTGTCAGAATATCAGATTAGGTTTTTTAATGTACAAACACAGAAGTCTTAACTGCATTTCAGTGCAGAATGTTGCACATTGTATCATCTGCAACAGAAAGGACTGACAGCATTTACACGGTTGACTCCACAGCATACAAATATACTAGCAATCTTTAGAATTATTAAACCAGAAAGATGACGTAGTAAAATCGCAGCCTCCACCAGGGGGGCAGCAGGAAAACGCCACGCAGCCTCCATGCGCGTGTTGCGGAAAAGCAAATAAAATTGCTCTTTGCAGCAGACAAGAACGTAACAGCTCTAGCATTATGGAGACCTACAGCTGTCAAATATTCTGCAGTTTACAAATAAGAGATAACACATAGCAATGAAATTATAATTGGTCCTCTGACTGGTGTTTGTAGTATGTCTCCCATGGGATGTTTTTGTGACTATAGAATCCTTGTGTTCAAAGCCTTGGTGCTCATTACACAGCGTGCCACCTCGGAGCTGCTCGTGTGATATTTTCCTTAAAAAAAAAAAAAAATTAGTGCTAAAGTCAGGATTTCTTAAAAGTGACCCAGCTGTGAGAGTCTGCAGGGTATTCTGTTCAATTTTGGATTCTCCAAAGAAGTAATTCATAGTAATTTATGAGTCACACAAGTAAATACAAGAACATTCAGTTATTTTTAAAAACATAATATCTGCTAGATACAGTATTTCCAATGAATGGAACAATTAGTATTAAGGTGGGGATAGGGAAAAGGAGTAATTATATTTAATAAAAACCAGATTTTAAGAAAGGTAATAGTTCTAGAGGATGCTAAGACACCCAGGTTTGAGCACTGTGTAATCACTTCATCAGAACAGAATGAGAATTAGAAGATGAAGTGGGCTGTGGCAGATCAGTGAATGTTGACCAGTGGTCTGGTTTTGCTGCTGTAAGTGCAGTGATTTTCATTCATGCTTCCACAATGTAGAATTGATCTCTATTTCTTGTACCTGTGTGGTGGTTTCACCCAGCTAAGACCATGCGGTAAGCTGAACAAAAGGGTCATGGGTCAAAATAAGGACAGGGAGTGTGACTCACCAGTTATGGTCATGGGCAAAACAGACTTGACCTGGGGAAGAAGAATCAATTTAATAGTTACACCAATCAATCAGAGTAGGATAGTAAGACATAACAACCACATCTTCAGACAACTTCCCACCACCCCTCCCTTCTTCCTGGACTCAAATTACTTTGCTCCCGATTTCTCTACCTTCTCCCCTCAGTGGCACAGGGGACAGGAATGGGGGTTACAGTCAGTTTGCCTATGCTGCTCTTTCCAGCATGAGGTCCGTCCCATGGGCTCCAAGAGTCCAGGAACAAAGTGTTCCAACATAGTGTTCCCATGGAGTCACGGACCTCTCCAGGCACAGCTCCCAGCTTCAGCATGGGGACGTTCATGGGCTGCAGATGGGTCTCCAGTCCAGCACACCTCCTCCACCCACTCTGGGGGTTGCCTTGCTCGTCAAAAGAGCACTCAAAGTCACAACTGCCCTCAGGCACAACTTTCTGGTCCAACATAGAGTCCTCCATGGCCTACACTTGGGTATCTGCTCTGCTGTTGAACTTCCATGGGCTGCAGGAGACCTCATTTACCTTCTCCTGCTCTTCATGCATGCTGATCCCAGTGTCTGAGGTTCTTTGTTTTACCCCTCCTCCTTCCTCATGGCAATGATGCTCTTTATTATTTAAGCCAGTGGTCCTTTTTGTTCAAGTGAATGGTCTCTCCTCATGGTTCTTTCTTCCTTCTTCTTTTCAAAACAGTTCTTCCCCTCATAAATGCTGATTCAAAAAGGCATTTCCCTATTGCTAATTGGCTCAGCCTGGGCTGGAGGTGGGTCCGCCTTGGAGCCAGGGGAGCTTTGCAAAAATTCTCTCGGGGAGCATCGCTGTAGCCCCTTCCCCCACTACTGAAAATGCCCCCCCCCGGCCCCAAACCCAACAACACAACCTGCAAACAAGATGGAGATAGAGCTCAGTACTTGAGTTCAGTTCTAGCTACAACTGTAGAATGTAGCTCAGGCTGAAGAGGCATTTTTTTACAGTTCTGTGAGTGCCTGTGGTTTAGTTTTCAGTCCCAGAAAATTTACTGAAAGCTTCCCTGCTATTATTCCTCAGGAGGAGGATTGCTAAGACAATTGAGGTTTCAGCAGAGGAAAAAGGTGGGCTTAGAGGGATCTGGTGAGTTCTCCTTCTGGGCAGATGAAGCATAGTCGCATCCATTGTCGTGTTTAATATAATACAGAAAAAAGTACACTTTTAATTACATAGTTACAAATTATAATTTAGGTGCTTAAATTGGGCTTATTGTATATACTCAGTGACATCTTAAAGTTTCAAAATCCATGTCTGCGTTGATTTGTAAACATTTGTTACATAAAAAAGCAATTGTTATTTCACAGATTTAATTACATGCTCATGTCCTGGCTCTGTGTGTTTTAGAACCCAGTGGTGGGGTTTGATATTAGATACAAGAAAGAAGCAAGGAGTTTCATCTCCCTTACCTCCTCTTCATTTTCACATACAGAGCTTGTTTAAATCCTTTGGGAAGAAAGAATGAATTTAACCCAATTTTTTTGAGGTGCTTATGCAAATAAAATTGGTTTGCTTGACTTCAAAGCCTGAGAGGACTTTTTAAAACCCTCATTTTTGTATACATTGTTTTACAGTTATGTTTGTGCTTAAGGAATGATGTGAGTGATGACAGAAATTTCTTTGATCTGCCTAGATTTAAAAAAAAAAATCAGATTATTTGGGGTGGGAAACACAACTTAAAGTAAAAAGAGAAAAAAGGACTACTACCATATCTTCATTTCAGAGAATGATCACATTCACCCTGTTTCCTCTTTCGATTTTATGCCTCTGTTGCTAGCTTCCCCAAAAAGATTTCAAAGCCTTTTTCCTGCCGCCTCTATGTAGGAGATAATAGTCCTTTAGATATTACGAAAAACTGTAAACAAATAAAGATCTTTTAACAGAAGGTAAGTTCTAAAATGACAGTCTGTCTTTTGTCCTCCTGTATTCACATGAGGTCCAGTAAACAGGTACTCACTAGAGAGTGATTTGCAGCGAGTCTTCTATGGCTGGGTCCATACCCAGAGGTGAAGGGATAAAACTGACGTATGCTCTATGTCCTTGCAGTGGTTTCTCTGGGAACTTAACTTTTCCAGTATTTGTATGAATGTAACTCACCCCAGATGGTGTAACCATTGCCAGAAGAGATAGTAGGATATGCATTTGTTTACATCTACAGCACTTAATTAACTATAGCTATCAGTAATCAGTAGTTTAACTTGATGTAATGTTTGGACAAAGTAGAATTTTGTAATATCGCCAGGTCCCTAGGAGGAAGTCACTGCTGATCAGGATTAAGATGAACATACGGAGCAGTGGAAAATTACTTGCCCTGTACTTGTTCATTCACTGCAGCTGCCAAGTTATTTTTGAAAGCCAGTAAATATATTTCTGTTGTTTTGTGTATTTGGGGGGTTTGTACTTTTTGTATGGCGCTTGCTTTTCATTTGAGAAGCATCATTTCCATAACTAGAGACACTGTAATTGGTATATTTGCCAAAAATACCATGTGTTTTAAAATGACTTTCTTTATTTTACAGAACACTTTACCTGCATTATAAAAGTGCTGTTCACTTTACTGTATACTCAAGCCTTGGTAGCACATTCTGTTAAATGCAGTGCTGAAGATAGGATGGCATGGAAAGAGTCAGGAGCCCTCAAAAAGGTTGGTTAATTTGTTACAAGGTTTATTTTACTAAATTTCTGGTAGGAATGTAACAGATACTTCTGCTTTGCATATAATAATTTGCTTCTGCCTCACAGAAATCCAGCATTTTGTTTCTGCATGTGCAATTTGTGCAGATTTTGCTATGTGATAAGACTTAAAAGCTTCACAATGACTATCCAGTTCCAGAACCAAGTTTCAGATTTGCAGCTGTATCTCTATAGTTTCAGCCTTGAGTTTGTTGCAATGGTATTGAGTAAATGCAGTTTTCCTTTCTACGAAACGGAAGCCTTCCTAGGTAAACCATGGGTTGATCTAATGCACTACTTTACTGGAAAAGCAGGTAAGCTTGTTGGTGAGGAAGAAACTTCGTCTTATTTGTTCATGCTATTTGTGGCTAGCCATATAAATTTCTCTCAATATGTGGTCTAGAGTGCTTGTGTGATGAAGAGGCAGAGAAGGAAATTTGTAGACTAGGCACGTAAAGATTTCACTGTGGTTTCCTTGCCTTTTGATAGTATTTACAAGTAAAGTGAAGGTGCATCTTGCTATTTTAGTTTATCTGATTGAATGCCAGTTCCCACCAAAAGACAGTTCCCTGCACTGGCATTCCTTTAATCCTTCAGTTAGTCTTCCGCTCCACGGATTGATTCCCCAGAAGGTCAAAAGAGTGCCAGTGCCAGACCAAGGGAAAGGATGGAAGTGTTTGGGCCAGGAGAGGAAATGGGAGGAGGAATACCCCTTTATACAACAGCTGGGCCTTAGGATATGTTGGCTGTAAAATGAAATGCGCACTGAGAAGCATGACCTGCTTTTCACATGTAAGTTAGATTGGTCATACTGGTCAGTCACAGCTCCAAGGCAATAAAGACAAATTATCTGCTGGCCAAACTGCTACTATGCAGGATTTTTGTTTCTGGACTTGCATTAAGCATTTGAGACCACTGGCCAGTACTGCATTTTGTTAGCTCCCTCTCTACACTCTTCTTTCAATATATGTTGTCATTTTCTTAGAATTTCAAGAACATTTACTTGAGACTGTTGCTGCTGAGGGTTTTTTTCCATTTTTTGTTAAGTGATTCCAAGTGACAGAGAATTTTGCAGTTTAAAGTTTGTGATAGAAAGCATATAAATAGATTAAAGTGTTACCATCTTATATTCTTTCATAGTCCACATGATAAACACAGACTGCCTTTTTCTTAGTAGCAGAAGTTGGAGTTTATCTGAACATATATTTACATGCTTAGTTTTCTGTCTACAGCAAGAGATTTTTATTGTATGAAATAGACTTAGGGCATGTGGTAGGTGGGCTTGCTACCTGTTAATACCAAGATGTTTTCATATAGAAGCATGTGAAAGCATTTGCCTCACATTAAGCACTTTGTACTTGAGGCTTGCAGATTATGATAATGGCTCAGATAATGGCTTCATGAAGTAGCCATCGCTTGGTATTAAAGACAGTCCGTTTTAGTGACATTTTCACTAGTGTGCTTGCCGAGTGGGAAATAGTAGCACATTAAACAGTATGTTACTGTGAATGGATGTTGTGATTTAGTGTAATTCAAATAACACAGCAGATTTACTTCTGTCAGTTTGGGAATTTCGACTTTTCTTCTGTGAGAAGCCCATTGAAGGCTGACAGTTTTCCAAGTGGGAGAGCAGAAGAGGTAGGAGGTAGATATGAACATTGCTCCCCGCTGTGTATGTGCTATACTGACAGCATCTCTCACTCACCCTTGAAAACATCCTCCTCCTTCCTCTTGTCTGTCTCGTGTAGATCATCTGTGTACAAAGGTCCAAGTTCTGACAGCAGCTTGGCAGTATGTGCTTAGGGTGGTCTCTGCATGATCCTCAAGACTTCAGGGACTCCTACACTTACTTCCTTCTTGGCTTCCATCCCACCCCAGTGATAGTCTACCCCAAGTGCAGAGGCTTTGCATAAGTCCCACCTGCAAGTTTGCCCTTCCCCAGATGTCTTTCCAGTTTCCCACTCCTCCTCCAGCATAATGTTGCTGCCTGGACCCTATGTGTGTGCAAGAGACTTCTGAGCACTGAGGATGAGGACCAGCCAGTGGTAATCGTGTAGCTCCCTGTTCCACTCTCCCAGCCCTTTGGCAGCCCTTCTCTTCTTGAGCCTAGCCATAGTCCTCAGGTGAATTGTTTCTCTTTGCATGTCACAAGGCAAGTTGGTTTTTAGTTTAGGAATCAAAGTTCTTTCTTAAAAGTTTCTTGAGGCCCAAATGGCTTAAAATGTGTGGTTCAGGCTAGCTTTTTCATATGTGCTGATAATATTGCCATTTTGATTGTGGAATGAGTACACAGATCACACCTTACTTAGCTTCTGTCATGGATGATGCCAAATGAATCTATTTCAGTTTGGTATTCCAGACGTTAAACATGAGCTGAAGTCTTTCCTCTCTATTTATGCCAAATGATCAAACAAAAGAGTTTCATTTCTCAGCAGGGCTGAGAGGTGGATATTCTACTTTTGATTCCCAACTTCACTCTCGTTACCTTTGCAAGGTGCCTCATGGTGTCGTCAGAAGCACAGCGTAAATGCCTGTGGCGTAAACTTCCAGGAATAATGTAGATGAAAGGTTTGTCCTAACTGCCAATTTAAATATATGTTGCCTTCTGGTTCTTAGACTATGAGCATAAACAGCGAATCTGCCATCCCAATGCTGAAAAGTGAAGACCCCATCTAAAATTAACAATTAGAATTGATGTCAAAATGCACTGAGGAAACCAGCTGATGAATTATATACATTGCTATGTACTGAAGTCTTTATATGCTTAATCTCACCTAGTTGCTTTGGAATTTTTTTTAAAGAATCCCAGTAACATTCCACTGCCTGATTGTTTGTTATGTTGATGATATACTAACAGAGTTCAAAATTCACATCCAGTCATGTTTTTCCTGGGTAGAATTTATTATGACTTAGAAGAAAAGTATTTATGGGATACTGCTTTCTATTTCTGATGGCTTTCTATAATCATTGCCTTTAAATGTAAATGCTATGGCACAAAGCTAAGTGGCTGTTTATTCTTTCCACTAAATATTTTTTCCCATCTGTGGCAGATACTGTTCATTCCAAACACAACTTCCCATTTTCTGATAGACTCGTTTCAACTTAAAATACTGAGCAAGTCTTTTGTAATTCATTCTGGTCGGTACATTTTAGAAAACTACTTTTTTTTTTTGAAAAAAATAAATTACATTAGTTGTATTAGAATTCAAATAATGTCAAGACACAATATATCTGTAAACTGATTCCTCCTAATTTTAAAGTAAGCATTTTTATACTCACAGAAAAAACATGGTAAATGAAACACTGTAAAAATGTTTTCATATAACACTCAGTTAAGAACATATGTCATTGAAGTAGCAATTCGCATTTCACTCTGTGAGCTAAATGCATTCCCTTTCTGTAGAGTTATTTTGGAGTTTGTTTTTTGTTTGGGGTTTTTTTTATGTTTATCTTTGTAGGTCAAAATTAATGTGTTGATCAAAAGGAAATGAACTTCATTGCTGTTACTTTTACAGAAACTTTTTCTCCTTTTCATGACCACTGCATTTTGGATTTCTTTCCTTCTTATTTGCAGAATACATCCAGTGGAGAAAGATCATGGGAAGTATTGCTGGGACATGTGATTAGTGAGCTGTCTAAGGGAAAGATATATGAAGAAGGAGAGACTGAAGAATTAACAGTGGTACTGGCAAATCTCTTGAGAATATATCCAGCATGTCCCCTTTCTGTCTCTTAAGTTTTTCAGCCTCGTTATAATGACTTTTCTCTGATCTTGCTAAAAACTGCAGTACAACTCCCTATTTTCTAGATCAAAGCACATCCCTCTGGGACAGTTTGCCTGTGCAAATCTTTTTTTACTAATATCATATATGGCCAGTGCTGTGTTGAGAAAGTTATTGACAAATACTTCTTATAATTGTGGTTTTTAATCTTATGAAAGAACTTTCAGAAACTTGGAAAACTGAATATTTAAGTAGAAAAAACATTTGTCAAGGGGGAAAGAAATAAAACAGTGTTCTTTCAGATTATTAGTGAAATGCTGGCCTTTGGAATGTATGTTTGATGCAGCTGCCTTTCCCCTGTAGGTAAATCCTGATTCTGTAGAGTGCTATCTGCAGCAGTTCTGCCTGCCTTTCCTCAGGATCACAAGCCTTCTTCAACACCATCTTTTTGGAGGGGATTTACCTAGTTGCCAGGTACAGATTGAGGGGGACACACTCAAATGTTTCCATTTAAAAGCTAGAGATAAAAAATCAGACTTTTCAGTTGTCTTTTTCATGGCATGTATTTTCTATTGTAAGATTTTTAAAATCCTATAGCATTCCTGTGCAGCATTGTTTCCCTTCTATAAATTTGTTTTCAAGGCAGTTTCTCTGAAAAATGGTACTATATTCTTAAAATTCATCAAATACATGCTATTTTATCAGGTCATAGATGCCTGTTTCATAAAATACCAACATACCTGTAAAACATGTCCATCATTTGCAGAGATGGCATAATTTCCACACAGACTGGAATTCAGTCCTGATTTTGCTTAATGCCTGTTAATACTTGGACTTTACTCTCACATCAACAGACAATTATGATTAAGTTCCATGACTGATTTAAGTAGAGTTTGTGGCAGGTCAGCTCCCTTGTTTCCTTGCCTCAAAATCATCTCATCTGTAACATAGCTACAAGCCAGTCTGGGGTGCTAAAACAGGAAGAAAATTATTGGGGAGTTTGGAGTTTTCTTTTTTTCTTTGTGTTCTTTGGATTTGTGGTTTTGTGTGGGTTTGGGGGGGGGGTTCTGTTGTTTGTTTCTTTGTTTTTGTATATTATTATTATTATTATTATTATTATTATTTTTCTTGTATTTTGAGAATCCAATTTGAAGTAAGCTGGAAAAAATGTAAGCTTTTCTGTGTCTCTGAACGTGACTATCAGCATCGTTGCACTAGAACGTCTTTACTTTTGTTAATGGAATAGATACATTTGTAATAAACTACTTAAGAATTCAGAGTGTAGGTATTAATCTAAACCTCTCTTTTTTCATATCTAAAAGGAAGATGAAGAATTCACAGTTCTTGCAAGCTGCCTGGGACTGTTACCATCTTTTCAGTCGGCTCATGAGTTCACCAGTGCCTCTTGTCTCGACTGGCCAGTGCCAGCATTTGATATGATATCACAGTGGTGCTCAGAATTGGCTTCATTTGCAGACAGACATTCAGATCAAGTAAAGGTATGTAGCAAAATTACTTCCTCCTAACAAGTCCTGATGTGGAAGCAGCTATTTATGGCTTGATTCACTATGCACATGCACTGTTGTTTTGGATAACAATCTAAGAACCTGACTTGTAAATGAGAGAGAAATTGTAATGAGAAATATTGGTTAGTGAATGTGAGTTGATTGGTTAAATACAGGAAGAAAACCTATCTAGTTTTTATGTGGTTGCTGGAGACAGAAAACAGAAATGCTCTCCTTAGATGATACTAAATGTACCCATATCTTCTGCACCTGAAACATATCAAGGGCATGTAATAGAAGCTTTGTCTTTTCAGGAAATACCTACCAGAAGTTTTTCTTGCCTGTTAGACATAGTGGATATTTTTGAGCATCTTCAGTTGCAGTACTGAAAAGGGTAAAAGCTGTTCAATAGTCAAGTGATAAAAAGATTGTGCCTCTTCTCTGAAGGTTAAAGGAACAATACCAAGACTTGGATCAGTGCAACTGGAATATTAGTTGTGAAATGGAAATGTTTCAACATTATTGCATTGTTTTTATGAAGAAGCTGCATCTCAATAATTCAAGTCCCCCTCTCCTAAGTTTATGATGATGAAGAAGCAAGCCAGATGCGTTCTTCACTCCACAACATGATTTGCACCTGCCTAGGCATGTTTGCAGGCATGAATTAGACTCTTGTGAAGGAAAATTTGATCCTACAACTAAGATCCCATCTGACCCCTATGCCATCAATTATTAAAAAAACAAACAACCAACCCACCCCCCAAAACAGTGCTTTTAAGAGCAAAAGAGAAGAGTTAGGCTTTGAAACCAGTACCTAGGTAGTGCATGCCTTATCAAAAATTTGTGAGTACTGCTGAGTTCTCAATGGCCTCAAAATTTATGTGTGCAGCACAGTTTTGAAAATCGGGCAGATGTCTTCAAATATAATTTACGGAGTGTAACTTCAGTTCTGTTTTTGAAAGTTTTAGTCTAAATTTTGGCTAGGAGACAGGTTTTGTAGTCAGTGCCAGAGTGTGAGCAGTGTGTGGATGTTGCCAAGATAACTTAGTGTAGTGAGTGGGAGTCTTCCCTGTAGATTACTCTTAATCCTCTTGTTTTAGCTATGAAAATTTTTGTGCTTGAAAAGTGTCACATTTAGAAAACATCCTTGGGAAAAGGCTACTGCCCATTTTGCACCTCTTACAAAAGATAAAATGTGACCACAGTTGAGGAGGCTGTTCAACCGGAGGCAGGTGACTTGCAAGGTGACTTTTGACTTGTAAATTTGTGAAATACAAAAAAAGTGAGAGAATTTTAAGCTGCATGCTTCTTTTCTTTGGTATTCTCTTTTCTTAGAAAATATAAATGCATAAATGAATGTGCAGAACTGATTTCTTGTTCTTATCTTATTTGTAGGCTTTGCTTATCCAGGAACCTAAGTGGGACTTGCCACGCCTCCTTCAGTTGCCTGAGAATTATAATACCATTTTTCAGTATTATCACAGAAAGACTTGTACTGTTTGTACCAAGGTTCCTAAAGATCCTGCTGTTTGTCTAGTTTGTGGTACTTTTGTATGCTTGAAAGGACTGTGCTGCAAACAACAGAGTTACTGTGAATGTGTACTGGTAAGAGAGAGTTAATTCAAATTCTGTAATTGATTCTCACACTCATGGATAGTTTTTAACTCCTTTGCTCAGTTTTGATGGTTTTCTTTCCAAAACATGTTTATATAATGTTTAGTGCTTATTTCTGATAGATGGACCTACACTGGATTTTAAAGTGCAATTTTATTCACCTTTTTAAGCCCATAGCCTATTTCACCTCTTTGAAAAACTCTGACAAAACCATTGTGTGTATTGTGGCACATAGTTTTGATTCATAACCAATTGAAATTTGTCTGCATCCTGATTGTTCATATATTATTTTAATTTTCCTCTGTTTTGTTTCCTTGCTTTCTGCATATGTAAGAATATCAGCATATGGGTTGTTTTTTTTATCTTTTCTAGAGTACACCCAACCATCTACTAGTGATCTACAGACTATAGCTAGATAAGCATCACTTTAAGGCCTTCAACTTCAACTTCAGCAGCAGAGTTTTCTAGTCAGCATATATATCAGTTCTTTCAGGACCCTGAGTTGGGCAGCATCTGCTGTTGTTTTCCTGTCTGTGATAAAGTTTTCCTTTGACAGCTGTTCTGTTTCCTACCATAGAACAGTTAGCAGAAGGCTGGAACTACGTGGGCTTTACAAAACTGTGAAGGGAATTTGGTGGGGAGATATCTACAAATGGAGCAGAAAAAGAAATTTTAGAGGGCTCTTGGAAGTTTTTGGAATTGTTTGAACTCAATTTTTTCTCTCATACTGCTAATATGGTGGGAGGAGGAGGGGTGGGCAAAATTTAAAACAGAATTAACAGTTATATTTAAGGTGTCAGGCTTCCATGAAAACAAAGTTCTAAAAAAATAGTTAAAAATCTATATATATAAAATTACATTTTATGACAGTTGATGGCATTATAGCCTCTAATTGTAATAAAACTATGTAGGAAGAACAAGTTTTTTAATTGCTAAAATGAATCTACTAATACAGATCATGCCATTCACAGAGATGGATGACTTATTAAAGCAAACAAGAATTATTAAAAAAGAATTTTTACTAGATCTGTAGAGCCATAAACTAGATCTGTGAGCACGGATAGAGAAAGCAAATGTTTAGCAATAGGAGACTATTGTAAAAGAAGTAATGTTAAGGTTTTTCTTAATACTTTCACCTATTCTTGCCATTTATGAAAAACATTCGGTCATGCCATACAACAACAAATTCAAAATATTGTAGAGAATATTGCTGCTCATATTTGTGAGGTAATTCCAGTTTTACACAATAACAAATATCCTCCCTTTTTGAGCCATGGAACCATTTTTGTATGCAAGTGTTAATGGCGGCACAAGACATGGAGTTCTAGTTTGATCAGAGAATTTTGGGGCTATCCTTGGTCAGACTGTTTCGTAGTAAATAATGTGTATGTTATTTCAAGAAAAACTAATTACTATTTTTTAAATCCTTTTTGTTATAAAGTTGACAAGACACTAACAGAATCTTCGTGCTCTTCCCTTTCTACACCCATAATATTACAGCATTCTCAAAACTGTGGAGCTGGGACAGGAATATTTCTTTTGATTAATGCATCTGTAATCATCATCATACGAGGCCACCGTTTCTGCCTTTGGGGTTCTGTTTATCTAGATGCACATGGTGAAGAAGACAGAGATCTTAGGTAATGTTTTCATTACAAGTGTGTTTCACTGTTGCTCCTCTGTATAGATCAACTTTGTTATGCAGTACATGCAATAACAGATAATAATAGATCTCTAAGATCTCCACCTTCCTTGAGTGGAAAATCCACATTTACTGCAAGTTGGACTCACTTTTTTGTGTCTTTTTTGGTTGGTTGGTTGTGGGGTTTTTTTGGCCCCAAGGTGGCATAATCATGATCATGGAGTTTTACACACCAGGCACCAAACAAACAGATTCCTGTTGCCATTCCCAATGAGGGTCAATTCTGAGTGCTGCATTGGGAAACACTTCTCTCCCAATGTTGTTGTTCAGCCTTTAATCAAATGGTGCAGTTGGATTCCAGTATAGGGAAGGAGCACAGCTTCCAAGCTACACGTGCCTGAGAGAACAGATGTTTTCTGGATTCTGCCATCCAGGAGGGAGAAAGGGAAGTCCCAGCAGTTATCTTATTAAAAACAAAACCAAAAGCCCCTCACCAATAAAAATGCACTCTTCCCCTGGGAAAAAAGTTGTGTGAGTATCATGTGTTGATTATATAATGAAGCAATTTTCCATTTACTTGGTATATTAACCATTATTTTTTTTTTTCCCCCCTGCAGGCGTGGTAAACCTCTTTACATATGCAAGGAAAGATACAAAGTGCTTGAGCAGCAGTGGGTGTCTCATACTTTTGATCATATCAATAAAAGATGGGGGCCACATTATAATGGCTTGTAAATAATCATCATCTACACACCATATCATTGCTGTTACCATGAATGAATGCATCTTGACTGACAATAGCTTTAACTGAATGGGAGTTTGGCTCTTTGGCTCGGGGTGGAGTGGGGTAAGGGCGTAAAAGGGAAATGGAACTTTGTCAGCATGTGAAATTTTTGCAAAATTAGCTGCTGTTGCTACTAAACGATGATACAATAATTAAATCCTCAAAATGGTGTGAGCAATCTGATTGCACTCAGTAGTCCATTTTTCTTTTGTTTTTTAAAGCCCATTATTGTTAAGAAGCACAAATTTTACTTACAGTTGTTTAGAGGCTCCAGAGATAGCTGTCAGGTTTTTATTTTTCTCTGCATGGAGTTGAGTTTTTAGCAATTTTTGCTGAAACAGTGTATATGTCTACTACATCTACTAAATATGTTGGATAAAATTTCTTTGCCTTTTTGTGTTGGTTTCGAGGTTTTTGCTTGATACGCGTTTGTAATGAGGCAGGATCTGTAAAACAGTTGTGAGACTGCATGGTAACAATTGGTCTGAAAGTTGAATTTTAAAGAGTATTTCACTTATCATGAGAGGTCTATTGAAATATTTCAGGCATTACTGAAAACGTACGCATTCTCAGGAATTTCGTCATTTTTTTCTTCATAAATAAATGAAATAGCTGTAAATTAGGTATCTTATTGCTCTTAATGTAATCCAGAACACACTTTTTTTTTCCCCCCCAGAAATTAGATTTTTTTTTCCATATCATTTGAATAAATTTGTAGTGATAACACATGCAGAAATTGCTGTATATAGAGAATTTGTATGGTGCCCAACATAGCAGATCACAGTTACAAGCATAAAAACCATAAGCCTGCCTGTCATTTCAAACCAGATGTATGTTTCACAATGATTGAATTGGAAATGTGCAGGCTATTCTGCAAATGAAACATAATTTTGTATCTTTCCTGTCATTTCAGGAGGTTCCTCTATATTGTATTTGTTGAGAGTAATCACTGTTCTTTCTGCTTGGCTTCCTAAAATGGGGAAAAAAAAATCAACAGAGAGAGCCTAGATAAACAACCAATGCATGTGCAGCCTCACTGGATGAATGCCAGAACAGTTTATGTTCAGAGGGCTAAAATATTCATGAGAACAGGCATGACTGGGCTGAATCCCACAGTTTAAGTAGGTAGGAAAGACCATAATTAAAATACTGGTATGTAATATATTGCTACTGATATTTTTCACAAGTGTTGGTCATTTGTTGGCTATTTCATACAGTACTACCAAGCAGTTCCTGGTAGTTTTGACTTCCATAGCTTGTGTGTAAAATAAAATTTATATGTGTAAAATAAAAACATCTTACAATAAATCCACATATACAATGGAAACAGTTCCCCAGTGGAAGTCATTATCTAGTGAAAAGTGTATAGGGGAAATAAAATGACTGTATAGCAATCAAGGAGAACAAACAGAAGGAAAAGTAAGGAAATACAACTAGTTTTTCTGGATACCTGCAATTCAAAAAAACCCATAATAAAGGATGCTGGTTTTTATACCTACATATAAATATATATATATATATTTCAAAAGTATTACAGTACTTCCTGTAAGAGTCAAATTACTCTGTTTCACCAACTAAATGGCTATGTCTTTTCCAAAATATTACTTTTTTGATACTGTATTATAAGTTCTGCCTGTAATATTTTTGCATTGCTCATTATGAATATCAGGCCATTTTGTAAGTGTGGTTGAAGAGCAAAAAGTTTCTTTACATCTCCAGCATAACATTATTACAGGGCTCATGAACTTGAGTAATCTGTAGTTTGAAGCTCCAATGCTATATTTACAAGAGCTGATGTATCCAGAATTTGATTACTGTGTTTTATTTAAAATGGAATGTTCTCTGGTTGTGCATATGGATGTGAAGTAAAACTATTAGCCTTAACTTTAACATTTGGGTATTTCATAGTGTTTATTTTAGTACTGGTGGATTAGTCACCAGTCAACTTAAAAACAACAACAAAAAAATCACTTGGTTGAAAAATTGTACTTGAATATCCTTGCATGCTGCTAAACAAGAATTTTGATTTCCCCCATAACTTTTTTAATCCTACTTTATTAAGCTAACCTTAAAAATTAACAGGTCCAAACTAGAGTGGTGTGTGCGTGTATTACTCAAATGTTCTGGTGTGATATCCTGTATGAATGAATCATTTAAGTACAGTACATTACTGTAGAATCTAAACCAATCTTTATAACACATCAGAAGAGTATAAAACTAGGAATACAGTAATCGACATTGTAAGATATGTTAATAAAAGTCTACTGTCAATCTGTGTGTTCATGAATTTTTTTTCTCTTGATCCCAGTCATATAAAATGTAATTATTATTGAATTCCACCCAATAGCCAAGCAGTTAAATGTCAGAAGCGTATGCATGCAAAGTACTTTGCATAGAGAGTAAATGTAGTATGTTTTTTTTCTTTTTGTTACTTACACAGTTATGTACTTTGTATTAGTAATTTGGATTATTTTATTTTACTTGTAACTGTACCACTTAAAGTTGTGCTTAATTTTATGTCAGCTATTACAGCATTGCTGCTGTAAGCTGATAAAATTAAAATTCTGAGTTGAGAAACTGTACTTCTGGGAAAACTGTGCTTGATCTTCTATTCTGTCAAATCTATTTCTGGAATAACTATTTCTTCAATTTGATGAATGTATATATTTATGTATTAAATTTTTCCTTTTCTTTTGACCTTTGAGAAATTTGGTGACACAGTTTTGTTTTGATCTTCACCTTTGGATAACAGCATCTTTTTTTTTTAGTGGTGGTCTGAAATTTTCAATTAATATTTTCATGACCTCTGCAATAGGATTCTTTGCATAACTCACAGTATTTCACAAGCAAATGACATTTTTCCTTTAAAAAGAGGGTCTTTTGCTACAGTATCCAACAAATGTTATTCTTTGCTTCAGAATCCCATGAGATCAGTTTGTGCTGTGTGTTTAGCTGCCAGAGGAGACAGTGAGTTTTGTGCTGATCTTGATATGATTTAGATGAAATGTTAATCTAACACAGATTCTGCAGTCCTGCTTTTCACTTTTGTTTCTCAGAGGTGGGAGTACTGATGAATGGAGCCCGTGTCAGCATTAGCCCAGATAAGAATGAAATTATGCTGTTTGCAAAGTAAGAAAACCGCAGGAATGAGCTGATCCAGTGTGTGGAGTTTCACAACTCTCAGTTACCAGCTGCGGGATGAGGGGTGCAATCTGAGCAGGCTGGCTCTGTGTGACAATTTCTGGTGCGTGGGTTGCTCACTCCAGTCAGATCCATACTGCTGGTCTGAAGGCCACACTACACAAATGCCTTCTTTTGGCAGGGCACAGTGCCCTGGGCACTTCCTCTCATCTCTTCTCAGATGGGCAGTTGTTTGCCTGCAAGTGCTCTTGCACTGAGAAGAGCCCCAGCTGCTGGGGGTTCAGCTGTGTGATTTAACTTGCCTCTTCTGTCACTATAATGTCCTGTCACTGCGGTTGTCATCTTGCTAGGTTGTACTAGCTATTAATTCCTGGAAATGGATGTCCTTAAGAAGGAAAAGCATATTCTCAGTGAAGTCAAACACTTTGTGAATTCTTAGCTGTATAAGTGACCAGGGTGTTCTAATAAATTAAAAAATTCTTTTAATTTACAGATTTTAATTTTTTTTATTCACTGTATCATTTGTACTTTCTTATCACTATTCAGAAGATTTAATGTCACATGTTTCAAATACTGTGTTTCTTTGAAATACTACTGAGAAAGCAAAATTAAATCTTGTTAAAAAAGTGATAGTTTCAAAAAGCTCATCTTACTACCCTAAAACATGATTTTTGCAATGTATGCTCTTGCATGGTACAGGAAAATGTGGAAAAAAACCCCCCACTCTTTTGAAAAGCATTTTCAATTTAGCTGAGTCCTATTTAAAATGGCTTTTCAAATAATGGTACTTTAATGAAAGCTCATTTTGAGACATTTCCTGTAATTCTGTCACTTGATGTAGAGCAGGCTGGTCTCTTTAATTCGTGCAAACAGGAGCTGGTTCCATGGAAACCCCTCACATCATTGAATGATTTACTTGATGATGAACAACTTAATATTCCTTTTTTCTTTATCCCTTGGATGTACCACATGGATGGCAAACCTTCCCAGTTACACTGAGTATGGAAACAAATGTTTTAAGGACTGGAGCTAATTTTTTTTTCTTTCTTTCCATTACCTGTTGTCATGGAGCAGGAATTTTCTGGGAGAAAACTGTTTTCCTGTAAAATCAAACTCCCTCAGTCAATTTCTTATGCTGCCCATAATGTCTGTGTTATTTTAGCTACTGGAATTGCTTACATCACCTCTTGTCTTAATACATTTCCCATCCTAGGTCTGCTTTCAACTCATGACTACTGAACTTTTTAATATTTTTGACTGAAAGAGATTATGCTGGGCTTTTTCTTTATGGTTGGATTTTTAATCTTTTTAATGTTTCAACCAAAAAAAGCAAGATATCTTTCAGAGACTAAAACTGGGAAAAAACTCAAATGTATTGATTCCTTCATTTTAACAATAGTTTTTCTAGGTATTGAACATATCTACTGGCTCTGTGCTTTGGCCTTAAATGTGGTGACCAGATGCGTGTGGGTCTATAATATATTAAAGTAGAATTGAATTGTGTACTGATGCACAACATGTTCTCGGGGATTATATGTAAGTACTGGCAAATACCTAAAGCAGATAATGAGCCTTTGTCTGTTTTTTGGATGTCAAGGAATATCCTTTGCACCTGGTTCTTGAAGCCACTAACACAATCTGCTGTGAGAAGTGTTGTTTTCCTCATGTTTCTTCAAAAACCTGAGGCTCTCTCCATGTTATGCAGCCTCTTTCTTCATGCCTTTGTCTCCATATGCAACTACCTTGTTTGTGTAGTATTCTACAACAAAAGAACCCTGAAACAGCTGGAATCATAGAATAGTTTGGATGGAAAAGACC